GGGCGGGGCCGGGACGCGTCGCGCGGCAGCGGGGAGGGACGCGCAGGCGCTGCCATGGCGACGGCRGCGCAGGAGCGCGGGCGGGACGCGGGGCCGGAGGAAGGCCCGGGGGAAGGCCCGGAGGGGGCCCGGGATGAGGCCCCGAGCGGCGCTGAGGAGAAGGTGAAGATCATCTGCCTGGGCGACAGCGCCGTGGGCAAATCCAAGTGCGTGGGGTGCGGGGGGCCCTGCGGGGACGGGCGGGGGCGGCGGCGGGTCYCGCGGGCTGACGGCGGCGCGTCCTGTGTTCGCAGGCTGCTGGAGCGGTTCCTGCTCGATGGCTTGTATCCTTGGGAGCGGGGGTGCGGGGCAGCGGTGCGGGCCTGGCCCGGTGGCCGCGGCGGAGCGGGGTGTGCCTCTCTCGGTCGGCTCCTTAACGCGCCGCAGCCGCCCCCAGCAGCTGTCCACGTTCGCCCTGACGCTGTACCAGCACCGTGCCCGGGTGGATGGGCAGGAGGTCCGCGTGGGTGAGTGGGGACAGCCCGGGGGGGCACGGGCGGTGCCATGGCAGAGGGAACAGCTGGGAAGCGGAGATCCCCTTCCTCGGGATCTTGGTTAAGTGTTTCAATAGRTTACAGCATCCTGACAAATCTGGTGCCCTTCTATAACCGGGCTGCAGCATTGGTGGACGGGACAAAGTGACTGCTATCATAGCCCTGGGCTTGGCAGTGTTGGGCCCTGTCCCCGCGATGTCCTGGGCTCTGAGCTGGAGAGACAAGGACTGGATGGATGGGTGGACAGTCGCGGCATGTCGTGTGGTGTAGATAACCACATGCAGTCACTCRTCATGGCTTTTCCATGTGGACACCTGGACAAATGGGGACCCTCAGGGATCCCTCGGGGTCAGGGTTGGGGCTGAAACTGTTGACTGTCTTTGTTGTGACACGAACAGTGAATGCATATGTGTTGTGATGGGGACCTGTCTGTATTTGGGSAGTTTAAGAAAGTCATTGTCCACAGATTTGACAGTGTCCAGTCAGACACAGTACCAGTGCAAAGGAATCCCTAAGGAAACTTSCCTATTTGGCTTTGGGTGCAGCGCCATGCTTGAGTCCAGCTGACAAGAGGTGTGACTACACTGAGGTGCTTAACTTAAGCTGTTAGGGTTCAAATTTTGCTGTTAGGCAAATTTATACATCAAACCAGACTCAGATGTGAACCTGCAAACCCAATGAGAGATKGTGGATCTCCACCTGGGCTGCACCAACAGCAAAAGACACTGTGGCATCCAGGTTTGCCCCGTGATATGTGGCATACACAGAACTTGGTGAACTGGGACCTGTCTGCCTCTGGCTGACTTATCTTCAGCACTTCAGAGTGAGTCCTGCCCCTGGGAGAGCTGAGTCAGATGTCTGCGAGAGGAGCTGGAGCATTTCCCACGTCAGGGCCCCAGGACCACCACTGAGTCAGAAATCAGCAGTTTCTGGAGTTTTAGGTAGTTTTCCACTGTCATCCCTAGTGACAGAGTGTCAGACATTGCTACTGCTCTTTGTACTTCGGCCCATCTTGGTCCTGCTGTCCCGTACAASTCATGTCACTGGTGCCTTCTCCTTTGTTGATGCCAGTGCCAGCACAGCCCACAGCTGGGCCCAGCTAAGGAAAAGTCCCAGTTCAGCACAATTTCTTAACTCTGGAGTGTTTCAAATTGGTGAGGTGAAACCAAATTTGTGTCCCTGAGCAGGTGGGCTGAGCTTTGCCTCCTGGGTGTAAGTTGTGAGAAAAACAGAGCTTGGTGAGTTGTGTCATTCTGAGCTGTTTTTGCATTACAGACTTCTGGGACACAGCAGGCCAGGAACGGTTCCAGAGCATGCACGCCTCCTACTACCACCAGGCCCACGCCTGCATCATGGTGAGGGGAGTCTCAACTGGGATCCCTGGGATTTGGGCTCAGAATGGTCTCAGTGGCACTTGGCCTTTGTGTTACTTTYATGGTTACACTGCCGTGTGCTCCTTGTCTCTTCCAGTGGTTTAAATAACTTTCCTAGATTGTACTTTCCTCTCTCACCCAGGGAGATAAAACCCCTGTGGATGGACCTGGTTAGCTCTGGTCTGTMTCTCCTGGTAACACTTTCCTCTATCCCCTGGCTCTGTTGTCTTCTCAATGTCTTCATGTTTGCCCCTGTTCCCAGTTTCATTGGCTCCTCACCTGCTCAGGTGTCCGGTTTGTCGTGTTACTCTCACTTTCCACTTTCCTCACCACCTGGGAGCACCAGTAATTTTCACTGGTGATTTACTTGTCTGAACAGAGGAGGCCACATCTGCCCCTGCTTGGCACAGACTGTTCCCAGTGCCAGCTCCCTGTGTGAGTGGCGGGGACTTGTCACAGGACACARTGACAGTGTAAAGGACATCAAGGGGCTGTTTCCTGCTGGCTGGACTTGGGGATACTGTCCCTTTGTCTTTCACCCTTTCTAATAACACCCAGTTTCCTTTGTCATGTCTTCCTGGGAACATTCTGTCCTTATGTTGATTGGATTGGCCTCACAGATTGGTCAGAGCTGTCCTGGGTCAGGCAGAGCTGTTCTGGGCTGGCCCCGGGATAGGTGGTTCTTTTTTGGAAGGTGTTTGATGTGCAGCGGAAGGTCACCTACAAGAACCTAAACAACTGGTACAAGGAGCTGAGGGAATTCCGCCCAGAGATCCCGTGCATTGTAGTGGCCAACAAGATTGATGGTGAGTGTTCCTTCTGCTCCCAGCTTGCCAGGTTTGTGGTGGGATTCGCTCCTGTCCTGGGAATGAATGTCCTTTGTCAGTTGTGTAAGAGAATTTCCTGAATCCCCCAAGGCTGGGTCCTGTGCTGGCTTCACCTGCTGTCTTACAGGTGCTTGTCCTGTGTCACGAGCAATTAAAGTGCAAATTTGATCCATTTCAGTTTTATTCAAGTGATGTTCTTCCAATTCTGTCCTTAYCACACTGCCCATTCTATCCAGCAAGAGCCCAAAACTGATTGGAGCAGCACTTGGTCAAAAATGGCAGCAAAAGGARGCAAAAGCTGTTCTGTGGCTTCCCTGGATCAGTCATGGATGGCCTTGGTGCTGCTCCTTCAGCCTGCACAGACTCCTCTGTGCTGAAGTGTCTCAGTGTAGCTGATGACAAAACTCTTCACCTGGCTCTGCAGGAGGCTGGAAGGTTCCCTCCCATGGGAAATGCCAGCCAGCCATTTGTGATTGCTGTCACYGGGGCTGTGTCTGGGTCAGCAGTGGCTGTCATGGCACCCAGACGACACCCACCTTCTGGAGCTCCTGCAACGTCTGCCTGACCATGTCTTCTTTGTCTGCCTCAGTGGATATGAAAGTGACGCAGAAAAGCTTCAATTTTGCCCGGAAGTTCAGTTTGCCCTTTTACTTCGTGTCTGCTGCCGATGGCACCAACGTGGTGAAGGTGAGATGGGCTGTTTGACTGCTGGACTTGGTGTCCATGAGGCCCCTCGGCAGCCCAGGGACACGGGGGCTGCTGTGGGCACAGATAGCAGAAAATGGTCCATCATTTCAGCTCCATGTGAGAGGCTGGTGGCTACGGAGAGTTGCAGAGGGTTTTTTTTTTCTTTCCCTTGGGATTTGGGAAGTGTCCATCTGCTACAGAAACCCAATGCCCATCCTGTGAGTGACAGGCCTTGTCCTTTCCACCAGCTCTTCAACGACGCCATCAGACTGGCCGTGGCTTACAAACACCACTCGGGAGACTTCATGGACGAGGTCCTGCGGGAGCTGGAGGTGGGGAAGGCTCTGTCCCTGTCCTGTCCTGAAAGATGAGCAGTTCTGCCCTTTTTCCCCTTTGGCAAAGGAGGGGAACTAGCTTTGCCCTCTGCTAGTGATCTGGGGGCTTTGTGTGCTGCTGTGTCTGGGCTGGGAGGGGGAAGTGGGAACCCTCAGAAGAGCCTTCACTRCCCTAGGCAGAGTCTGAAAGAGCCACAGCAGATACAGGTGTTGCAGTCTCTGCCATTTCTCAGCAGTTCCTTGTCCTGCTCCTTTCTAGAGTTTTGACCTGCAGAAGACAAGCAAGGATTTGTCAGATAAAGGGAAGAGCTGCACAGAAGATGAGGCTCCATCTGCCTAGGCCTGGACCCTAAGCCCGGTTTTCCCTTGGGTCTCAACTTCTGGGACYCGCACAGAGGATGTTCTGGGGCCTGGACGGTGATGTTTCTCATGCCCTAGAGCTATRGTGATGGGCTTCTTCCCTTCTTGTGGGAATCTATCTGGGCAGGATCTTCATTGGCTCAGCCCTCCTCACTGCACATTTCGCTCAGGGGAGGAGCAGGAGAATCCACATGATTCCACATGGATCATTGCTCATTCAWGCTGCTCCTTCAGGACACAGCTGGCTGGGAGAGGTGAGCGGTCTTGGACCTGCAGAAAGGATCCTGCCCAGATGCAGTAGTGGTACCTGCTGCAGAAAGCAAACACTAAAGAATATTTTTTACAAAGCTGTGAGCTGGCATTTTCCCCACACTGCTGCTGTAAGGAAGGTGTCACATGGTATAAGGCCACAGGCCAGCCCTGCCTGCTCACAGATGAGCTGCTGCTGTCTCTGTCCTCCCTGACCTCTGTTGTAATGTTCCTGGGCTCCCATCCGTTCTGCCCCCAAGCAGGCAGATCCCATGGGCTGCTGAGCACAGGAGGTTTCTCCTTCCAGGTCCCTGTAGCTGACATAGGTGGGCTAATACCCACGGCTCGTGTGTGTGTGTGTGTGTGTGTGTGTGTGTGTGTGCACAAGATGCTGCATTCCAGAGAGCTGGATACACACACTTAGACATGGAATGGACTCATGGAATGGTTTGGGTTGGAAGGGACCTTAAAGATAATCTCATTCCAACCCCCTCCCATGGGCAGGGACACCTTCCACTAGACCAGGTTGCTCCAAGCCCTGTCCAGCCTGGTCTTGGACACTTGCTTCAGGGATGGGGCAGCCATAGCCTCCATGGGCAACCAGTGGCCGGGCCTCATCACCCCCTGAGTAAAAACCCCTTCCCAACACCTCATGCAAAAATCTCCCCTCCTCTGGATTTGAACCATTCCTTCTTGTCTATCATGACCTGCCCATGCGAAAAGCTGCTCTCCCCCATTATTATAAMCTGCTTCAGGCACTGGAAGGGGGACTGAGGTTTCCCTRGAGCCTTCTCCAGGCTGAAGAACGAATGKGAACAGCACAGCAGACGGACAGACAGAGCAGTGACTCTCCAAGCCCGTGGGTGCACTGAGCAGGGCTGAAAACACGGTTAATGGTGAACACAGAAACTTTACTTCAACACCTCGGTCACGTCAGCATCRGCGTGGCCGCAGCAGAGCAGCATGGGCAGCATAGAGAAGTCTCTGGCCCCAAGGCTACCTTTGGCCCAGCAGGAAATGSCACGGTCCACTGTAGCCCTGGATCCTGCTCGTCCCACTGCTGCTCAAACCTTTTTGTCCTTCAGAAACTGCGGGAACTCCTGCACCAGATTCCAGAATTGCGCCAGGATCTGGTGTGGGAAGGCCATGGGCATCAGTGTGCCCGAGGATGCCAGCGCTGGTCTCTGGCTGTGCTCAGGGGTCAAGCCGATGTATCCCTCTGCTGCCGGTTTCAGACGCTGCTCTGGGATCGAGGTGGCGACTGGCTCTGGTGCTGGACCAACTCTTTCTGCCGGGCTCAGGCCCGTCTGCAGCAGGATCCAGTTGTAGAAGTGCTGAGTGGAGGTGTAGATCCCGGGGTGCCTGGCTCTTTCACAGCCTCTTCCCCAGCTGCTCATTCCCACGAGCCAGAAGTAGTCGGCTGTGTTGTCCTTGCAGACGAGGGGACCCCCGCTGTCCCCCTGCACCRGGAGAGAGGGCTCAGGGGCTGTGGGGAGCTGCTGCCAGYGCCAGGGCTGGCTCCTCTCTCCCAGCTCCCGCCACATTTGCATTCCCAGCACGGGAAGGCTCTGCCTATGGGCTGGAGCCTCCAGGCCCTCAGCTGGGAATGAGTCAGGRGTTCTCCCACCCCTGCACATTGGTCCCAGACGTGCAGAGAACAGATGTTCCAGGGTCACTTTGGGACYGCCAGGAGAGCTGGATGGGCTTTGTGGGCGGGACCAGGCCTTGGGGAGAAGGGGACAGGGACCCTCAGGTGGGGAAAGGAAGGGCAGCCCGGGGACAGCGGACATGGGACATGGGACAAGGACCCTCAGRTGGGGAWGGGAAGGGCAGCCCAGGGACAGCGGACATGGGACATGGGACAAGAACCCTCAGAGGGGGATGGGAAGGGCAGCCCAGGGACACGGGACAGGCTGGGCTGTTTGGGGGCTCCTACCTGGCAGGTGTCGATGGTGCCCTGTGGGTACCCAGCGCACAGGTTGTCAGGATGAACAGCTCCTGCATACCATGGGCTGCTGTTGCACAGCTCCGTGTCCATGAGGTGGACCTTGGCCTCCTGCAGCGCCATGCCTGCTCCCTGAGCTGTGGGCACAGAGGGGAATGAACCTCCAGCAGCTTGGTACTCATCCCTTCCCCTTGGTACTCATCCCTTYCCCTTGGTACTCATCCCTTCCCCTTGGTACTCATCCCTTCCCCTTGGTACTCATCCCTTCCCCTTGGTACTCATCCCTTCCCCTTGGTACTCATCCCTTCCTCTTGGTACTCATCCCTTCCCCTTGGTACTCATCCCTTCCTCTTGGTACTCATCCCTTCCCCTTGGTACTCATCCCTTCCTCTTGGTACTCATCCCTTCCCCTTGGTACTCATCCCTTCCCCTGCCCTGGGTGCACCCCTTCCCCAGGAATGGCTCTGCCCCTTCCCTGGGGCTGGCTTTGCTTTCAGAGTGACATTGTCCAGCTGTGTCCCTGCTGTTGGCTCCGGGACAGGGGCCAGAGCTGTCTCCAGAGGCTTCACAGAGTCCCGGAATTGTTTGGGTGGGAAGGCGCCTTAAAGCTCATCCAGTTCCACCACCACACCCTCCCCCAGGCATGGACCTCTTCCCCCAGCCCGGGCTGGTGGGAGCCCCATCCCCACTGATASCCTGCAGTCAGGCTGTGGCTGTAGCAAGTCCATGCCCCCAGGATGCCCAGCCTGTGCCCTGGGATGCCCAGCTTGCCCTCAGGGTGCACATCCTATTTGGGAACCCGCCTTTGGCAAAATCCCAGCCGGCGATGTAGCAGGATTTCAGCTCAGAGACCCTCAGCGAGGCGTCGGGCACACAGCCCAGCTGGATGTAGTCGCTGCACTCCACGGGCTGGTCCAGCTCCAGCAGGGCGATGTCGTTC